TTTTGGGCACTTGGGTTGTTTCCAAAGCTTAGCTATTGTAAATAGTGCTGCTATAAACATAGGGGTGCAGGTGCTCTTTGGAATTGATGTTTCTGTGTCCTTTGGGTAAATACCTAGGAGTGGAATTGCTGGATCACATGGAAGCTCTATGTTTACTAAGTTGAGGAAATCTCCACACAGCTCTCCATAGTGGTTGGACCAATTTGCACTCCCACCAAAAATGCAGGAGAGTTCCTTTTTCTCCACTACCTCGCCAACATTTGTTGCTAGTTTTTTTAATATGTGCCATTCTCACTGGTGTGAGATGGTATCTCATGGTAGTTTTGATTTGCATTTCCCTGATGACAAGTGATGTTGAACATTTTTTCATATGCCTGTTGGCCATTTGTATTTCCTCTTTGGAGAAGTTTCTTTTTAGCTCTTCTGCCCATTTTTTGACTGGATTATTTTCTTTGTTTTTGTTGAGTCTCGTCAGCTCTTTGTAGATTTTTGTGATCAGTCCTTTATCATTAGTTCAACCCCTTTGTTTGTTTGTTTTTTGTTTGTTTGTTTTGTTTGTTTGTTTGTTTGTGGGACCCTCTCTGATGGCTGGGGAACGAACCTGCACTGACCTGCACTGCAGAGGCAGCAGGCAGCCTCGCAGCCCAGCGCTCAACTGCTGCACCACTAGGGGAGGCCCCAACCCCTTTGTTTTAAAGATAAGAAAACATAGGTCCAGACAGGCAACACAAATCATTGACAGAAGTTTTTGACCTAAAAATATAGACTGCAGAGCACATCTGTGAACCAATTTGAGACACCCACTAAGAGCCTTTGTAGGTGTTGAAATATTGAGCTTGAGGTACAGTTATTCAACTATAACTGAGCATGCATTCTCCATATCCACAGTCATGACATTCCTCGGTAAATCTAATAGAGTTTAGCACTCCAGACAAGAGAAAGTTGCCTTGGAACAAACTGGCTACTTGTAATAAACTGCATCTATTTCCAAGTAATTAGTAAAAATACTTGAGAAGACAGTCTGTTTTCCAGTTCATGATTTCTGTAATCCCTTCGAAAAGTCAGAACGTTTCTCTACTTCTGTTCTCCTGATGGCTAATAAAACAAAATGGATACTATATTTAAATACAAATATACCCAACCATCTGAAATTTTAAAATGCACCTAGCTAACAATTGAGATGACAGACTATTTTGAAAATGTGTGTGTTGGGGGGCAGTGGGGGGCTGAGGCATTGCCATAGTCAAATGCAAAATGTATACCTTTAAATGCTTTTATTGCAAAAGAGAATGAATGAATGAAACATTCAACTTTTGACAACATGAAAGAAATAAGAAAAATATAAATTAGAATATAGAGAAAAATAATTTTCAGTGAATTGAAAACTGATTCTTTGACAAAAATATAAATAAGCAGCTAACAAAAATTGTATCACAAAGAGTGAAGTAAACAAACATTAGATATTTAACATCAGACCTAAAAAATTAATCTATGGGTAATGAGGAAATAAACCAGGATGGCTTAGGTTATGGAGAACTTTTAAAGAGGTGATAATGTGGGTTGTTTTTTTTTTTTAAAAAAAAGATTTTACAAATTCAATGAATACAGCTCAAGACTAGCAATTAGGAAGACATTGGAGACTCTTGAAGCTCTTGCTGTAGAATGTGGGTTTGAAAGCCACACTGCAAAAGATCAAGTGGGGAGGAAGAGGCCATCAGAATCCACCCATTTTCAGTCTTTGAACTGAACAAAGGAGTCCAGTGAAGCAGGTTGGACTCTGGTGCAGTATTTTGAAGGATTCTTGAATTTTCATAAAATGCCCCTGTTGACATTGACTTTACTTGTGAAGTGAACCTTCGCAGGTTCTTTTGTACCAAAAGTAAGTTCTTGACACAACTTCAAAAATAATCCCTCGTATTTGGTGCTATTTTCATAACACTATGTAGTAGACAATAGTCATGAAAGACTTTGATTACACAGAATTACTCATTAATTTGATATTTAATGTCTTGTTAACTCCAAAGTCCTCTTATTATTTCAACACTATTTAAGCATTGCAGCCCATCCTTTGTGCAATCTAACCCAGTCCTCTCTGTCCATCAGATCTCCGACAACTGCATTAATTTTCATTCATTTAGTACACATGACTTAAGAGTATACCTCACAGGCAGTAATATTCGTTGCAAGCTGTTGAATATTCTTGTGAAGAAGGTTACGGACTCATACTTAAGATTGAAATTAGCGAGCTTTGTCATCAGAATTCCTGCGCCTGGAAAAGAAATCAACTTTGCTCATTATGCTTTCCCTACAAGCAGATAGTTTACAGTCATTCTTATCTGAAAATACACAAAATCATCTTCAGTAGCTGCTTGGAAAGAAAATATTATTCTGGAAGCTATTGGTATTGGATGAGGAGGAAATTGGTTAAAAACAAAAAAATACTCAAAAAAGGATGACAGTGTTCATCCCCTTTTAAGAGCTATTCAAATGAAAAATTGCTCGGCATGAGCTTGATCTATATTTTTTTTGTGGTTATTAGTAGTAATGAAGATGCATTAACCATATTCTCTTGATAATGCTCTAGCAGTTTCTTAGTACTTTTATCAACATATAAATTTTACAACTGGTAATTTGGGAATTTGACTAGTACATTTTTGTTTATAAAAAAGGGTAACAACATTATAACTTCTTCATATCTGTGAATTATGAATCTTGACTTGCAAGCAGGCAACACTAAAATGCAATAGAACTTCTGTATCGTGATAGCTCTTCTCTCTACCTCCACTCACAAGAAATTGGAGAGCGTGCAGGCTGCCGAGTGGAATACAAAGCCACAGGTGAATGCCTTCTTAATCCAGAATTTATGAATTCTTTTCATTTTATTCATTCTTATTCTCAGTAAACATGCACTGAGTGCCTTTTCTGTTGCTAACCTTAGTGTCTATAAATTGAGAATGCTCGACTTCATTAGGAAGCAGCTGAAAAACTAGAAGTAAAGTGGTGCAAAATCACTATCTTTATCTCTGTTAGGAAAGGTTGTTTTCAACCATTTTTGGAAGGACATTAAACAGCTCTGTTCTTTGAAAATACAAGGTGGTACAAAAAGAACCATTTTAAGAATGATTTTTTTCACGTTTCATTGAGTATAAGTGAATAGATCTTTATTTTGTAAAACTGAGTTCCAGGTTTTGAATTTGATTTGTCCTATCTCCAAAACAATGGAAGTCTCCAATACCTAGCCATAATATTAGTTTGTGTCATTAGAGAAAACTTTATTGCAGAAACAGCATAGTGTTCTTTCCTTATTCTTAGAGAACTGTGGATCACTTCTGTTTTACAGCTAATGCCAAGGATACCGCTGTCCTATAAAAAGCAGGAGAATTGCTATGTTAGTGCTACCGGATAGATCTGAAAGAAGGAAATGATAGTAAAATTCAAGTTAACTGAGTCAAATAAGTGGATCCCCGATTCTTCATTTTCAGTTTCTTACTTTCATGAAAGGAAAGTGTGTAAAATTCAGCATCTATTTATGATTTGAGCAAGAAAAACACAAACTTTGGTATTTTCATGGACTTGAACTTCCTCCTACAACTAAAATAATTTAAAATCCCGTCTGGTCTTCCAGACAATAACCCTGAGATATTGCGTGATTATGGACCTACCAGTGTATTCTTGGTTTCCTCCATTTGCCTATTGTGGCACTGCTCAGGGTAAACCATGGAAGCTTGTGAGATGAAGGAGATGACATTAAGGGCGTGGATTGATGCCTTCGGCTATACAATGTAGCAGTCTCAGTGACCTTGAGTGGTTTCAGAGTAACGACAAGAAGGCCTTAATGGGTTAAAGACTGAAGAAATGTTTTAAGTCATCCTTTTGGGAAAAAAATGTTGGGGGAAAGAGGGTGAAGAAATGGCGTGGCAACTAGAAAGGAATGAGAAGTCAGAAGAGAAGTTAACACAGACACACACACACACACACACACACACACACACACACACACACACCATGCTACCAGGAGGGATATAGTAGAAAAGGAGAAAATGGTGTCAGAGAGGGAAATGCAGAAGCAGTGCTCTCAAGAAGTCAGAAGAGATGGGGTCCAGAGCCCAAAAGGCGAGGCTGGCCTTGGTTCGGAGAAAGGACACTTCTTCGACTGTGAAAGGGGAAGAGACTTTTAAGACCATAGGTAGACGCGACCGCCATTCAGCGCATGAATATCAAATCCCTGCAGGTGTGGTAATACAGCAGTTCACATGCTTTCATGAACCTCTTTTTCAAATGGGGGTTGGAGACAGTGGACAAATAATAACCAAGTAAGATATGTATATAGCATGTCAGATGATTAAAAATGCTCTCAAGCCAAGCAAAGCAGGGCAGTGGGGAAGGAAGACATGGAGTGCTGGAATCGAGGCTGAGGGTGGATTGTAATTCTCATGAACTTGATGTAGCTTCTGTGAATTTACGTCGTGCCTCTCAGACACATTTTTTCAGAATCAGTTTGAATTTATCCTACTCCCCACATGCGAGGATTTTATGTGAAATTCACGCTCAGCCTTGTTTCACAGATCCTTGTGTAGTAACCCTTTAAGGCTTGCCCAGCCTTGAGCTTCTCCTTTCTAGTCCTCATCATAAATTTTAAGCATCCATTAATTTATGTAATTATTTGATTAATGTATTTCTTCCCTACTAGACTAGAGAGAAACTCAAGGAGGGAAGCTCCATCTGTTTTGGACAAGTGTAGCCTCAGAGACTAGCACAATGTTGTTGGCATGTAATAGGTCCTATCTCTTGAATGAATGAATAAAAAGTGAAAAGACTATTTCCTGTAAGTCACATCTTTAAGAATCTTATTATTTCATTATTCTGTGGTCATTTTTAAGTGCTGACCTTGTAAATGGCCTTTTTCAAAGGAGATAAGGCATGTTTTTATACCAACGGAATATGTGAAATAGAGTTGTCCTCTAATTTACATCATCTCCATCTCATTTTTTTTAAAACAGGACTAATACCAAAGGCGCTCCCCTGAATATAAATAAGGTCTCTAATAGCCTGATTAATTTTGGAAGAAAGTTGATTTCTCCAGCAATGGCCCCAGGCAGTGCGGGTGGCCCTGTGCCTGGGGGCAGTAATGGCAGCTCCTCCACAGCTGTGGTTCCCACCAAGACCTCAGCAGAGGCCCCCAGGCACCCTTTGCAACAGCAGCAGCAACAGCAGCAGAGGCTGATGAAATCGGAAAGCATGCCAGTGCAGCTGAACAAAGGTAAGGGGAAAATTCCAGTCAATCTGAAGAAAACACGTGCAGTACAGCCAGGGATTTCCTTCCCTACCTGTGAGGAACCAACAACAAAGAGAAATGAATGTAAAACTTAATTTTGAAAACTCTGTTATATTAAATCCTTTTTAAGTTGGAATATCAGATACTGTATTGTTTTTCATTATAACATTTTCTGAGGTTCTTTGTTAGGGTGTTTTTTATAGCCACTTGCATTTGAATCCTGTGGGTACCCATACGGTTTGGCACTTACTATCACAACACAGAACTTGACATCAGTTGACTGTAATGTCTGCTAACTTTGTGAAATAGTCCTTCTGACAGAAGAGATTGCAGTGGGATGTGCTGGTGGGCCCAGCCATTGCATCATCAGCTGAGCAGCATCTCCTGCAGTCAGTGTCTGAGTCTACCAACTATGAGTCAGAACACGGAGGGTTAGAGCAGAGGAAGCTCAGGAGGTCATCTGGCAAGTCTGTCCTTTGATGCATGAGGGCTCTGCTGTTGGCACTGGGCAGCTCTCCGCTGCTGCATCAGGTGTGCTCACTGCTATTCCAGAGCCTTCCGGGGCTGCCCCTCCTACCTGGACATCATATGATTATTATTGATTAATTATTATTGTTATTAATAATCATCATATGATTATCATGTAACTCTCCATATGAGAGTCCTTCAGATTCTTACTCAGAACCTGTCAGATAATGTGTCAGGCCCCCTGTTCATATAGCAGAGTGGAAACAGTTACATGTCTTTTTAATGGGACCCTGCTATCTATAAAGAAGCAGAAGATATTAACATGATGCGAGAAAATCTAGAAAAATTGATTCTAAGGCCTCACAAGGCAGAGAGTCTGGGACCATGTAGAGTCAGGGCAAATATCCCGACCGATGCTGCATTCCTGTCTTACGGGACCCCTGTGGTATAGCCGTGTTCAGTAACTGGTGTCCACAGTAACAATAGTAATACTGAGTTGGTAGGAACTATTAACTCTTGTTCCATAAGCCCTTTTTAGGAAGAGTGCATCCAGACTTATTAAAAATTTTATATTATTGCATTTAAATTGGTAAAGTTAAGTTAAATAGACTTTATTCCCCAGCGATACAAAATAATGAGTATTATTCAATAAGTATATTTTCTCTGTATGTTCTTCTGTTAGTTACAGCATGTTACTATCTTTGCCTAGGTGAAGTATTAGACTTTATATAATTAGTATTTAAATTTCTATTGGAATATTCAGTTTACCTTACATAAGATCTCATTTAAAATCACGTTTTTTTTTTTAATGTAGAGCTATCACAGATGATTTAAAGAAAAGGAGATTTCAAATCATTAACATGTTGTAAACGTATTTTAATGCCGGGAGACATGCCCACTTTCCAGAATGGAAATGAATGTTATTTTATATATTTCTTAATTGTACTGTTTTATTGTTCTAAACAAATATGATTTCAATATTGCTTTGATAACAAGCTGTAGTCAGTAGTAATTCTAACTGATGGCAGGCAAATGAGTCAGAGAATCTCTTAATGCTGTAGCTTAAATTTTCTGAGGAACCAAGCCAAATGACTATAGAAATATAAAGTTGTGTCTCTAAGGAAATGTCAAGTATTAATATCACAGTAAGTGAGAAAGGAAGTGCATGAAGATGAAACAATTGATGAAAACGAAGTCCCCAGTTATAAGGAGACGACAGAGCACTTAAGCAAGCATTTTGGAACATGAATATCACTAGGGCGTTTTGTAACTGATCCCTGTGCTAGAGAAAGTAGCCTTGTTTGGCAACTCTTCCTTTTATTTCTGGTTCATTCTTTTCATATCAGTCTACAGAAAAACATGTCTACCTTCATATTAAAGAGAACTATACCTGCCAAAGCCCCTCCCTGCACACAAGTCTGAATGAAATGGAGCAAAAGGCAAAGAGAATAGTTAATTCAAGTGGAAGCTGGTGTAGGCAGATGCGGCCTGCCCCTTGGTTCACTGCTGGTGAATACTGAGCCTAGCCCTCACCCCACATACACGCGCCCTCTCTGACCCTTTCTTTCCTTGCCCTAAAATGAGAGTGTCGGATTGATCCTTAGGGAACCTCCCAGCTCTGAAAATCTATGGTTCTTTTGATGAAAGCTGTTTGTTAACTCTCACGAGTTATACTTCCAGCACTGGTTCTTATAAGCTAGTGTTTTCCAGCAGTATGGCACTGCGCAGTGACACTGACAGATCTGCAAGTGTGTCACCTGGGCCCAGGGATGAGCGATCATGAGGTTTAGTCTGCCAAGAGGCTTGGTTGAAATATGACTTCTGACTGTCTCAGAACAGAGGCATCCACTTAGTCCCTTTGAGGAAAGATAATGCAATAGTCTTTTTAGTGTGCTCTGCTGGAAAATTTGAAAGTTGTTTTGACAAATGGTGGTTTGTAAAGATGAAAATGCTTATGGTTTTCATAAGTTACTTAACTCTCCATTATTTGTGCTCACATATGGGAACAGTTGTATGGAAAACCCCAAGTTCCTGTGTGTGCTGCTCGAAACGCACTCTGTAGTTTTGGATGTGTTGGGATGGGGTGGCGGAGGAAGGAGGTGGGCACAGATGCGCCTCCGTAATTTTCCTGGTGATGTTTGATATTATAATTAGGTTTTGGTCTCTACGCACTGATAGGTGATACAGAAGCAACAGAATAAAATGCACGCTAAGCATAAAATTGTCAGTCTTCATACAGAAAATAGGCACACTGTTTATCAATGAATTGAGCGTTAGCTATGTTATGAAAATACAGGACCTGGTAAATTCCACAGTAAGCTGTTTATCACTTATTTGGAGTATGCACCTATTTATAGATTTTATTTCACTTATAGGAAATTATAAATGCATGTACTGTTATTTAAAGGGAATGATATAATTACAACTCACTAATTTCCAGATGAGCTGACTGGACTGTAAATCATAATTCTAGCAAGTGGTTGGGGCACTGAGGGTGTTATTTCATTCAAACACTGGGCTTTTTACTAATACATAAATGCTTCAGGAGAAGCAAGTATCAATCATACATTATCATAGTCGGAAATACGGTGCCTTTCAGAAGACTTTTTTCTTTTTTTTTTTTTTTGGTTTGTTCATCTCAAAATAGCCTAGGCCTTCAGATGGTGATCTATCTAGAGAGTGATTCTGTTGACAGTACTGTGCTCAATGTCAAACTTTGTCATCCAGGAAGGAAATCAAAGAACCAAAAAAATCTCTTCGAGATGTTTACAGTGTATCTTGGATTCTCCATGCAATTCCTCCTGTGTTCGCTTCTTAAAAATGCCCTCCTCCCTGCCCTACCCACCCCCCATTTCCTTTGTCTATTTTTAAATTTGAACACTTAATTTATTTTAAGCATTTACTTCAGGTCCAATTTGTAAATGAAATCATGCCTGTAGTAAGTGTATCAAGTTTAAAGGGTATGCAGTTCACAGATTTATTTTTACATGTTGACATTTGTAAGTACATGTGGTAACTTATGAAATCTTTGCACTACTTAATATGAAATTAGAATTACTTGTATTTATCACTGAAGAAACTGGTTTCAAGTTCAGTTAAAAATAAATTTTATTCGCTATAGGAGGAAATCAATTTCAAAAGAATGGTGACTTCTTAATAAATGACATTTAACTTACTTTTGGATAAAGATTTTTTTCAAAAAAATATAAAATCACACTAATATCTGTAGCATAATGAAATCTGCTCTGCAAAATCTTTTGATTGCTAACGTTTCCTATACTTTAGAAACTTGTTCGTTTTTCTTCAAGAAAAGCACATACAAAAACTGTTTAGGAGCACATTTTAAAAATTATTTCCTTTTAAACAGATTTTATATTTTTCTGATGTTGTTCTGTCTTTTCTGTTGTGTATTTTTAGTAATTACCTTGATAAAGTGTTATAGTATTAAGTATGAGAAAAGTAAAGTTGATTTTTTTTTCCTTTTTATGAAATCTAATTACTTTTTTTTATGAAATGCAGGCGATGTAGTTACAGGAAGCGATGCTCAGGTTTCTGTTCCTGTCCAGACTCTAACTGACCTCCAAGGTACAGCTACATGGCAATGTAGTATCTCTCTTTGCCTGCAGTATTATCATCACCAAAACTCCATTTTTTCCTTTGCTCACCCTCCTTCATACTGTTTATCGGTTCACTACCATCGTTCAGCCACTGGGTGGCAATGTTGTGTAGAACAAAAGTCCCCTTTCATGTCATACATTGATGATGCCAAATCTCACTGCAGTGTGAGTTTTCTATTAAGTCTGCACCAGTCTCTTGTAAAACATAATCATCTTATATTTTATGATTATCCTAACAGTACACTTTATGTTGCAGCCAAGTGTTCTTTTTGTTGCACAGGTGTTCTGTGACAGTATTTGATAAATTAGCTTTGAAATCAGATGATTGATATAATGTTTGTATGCACATTATTGTGTGAATTAATCAGAGATACTGAGATTTTACCTAAAAGAGTTACAAATTGATTTTGAAATAAGTTTTTTCCTTTTAATGTTATAAACAACATGCTTATAACATTATGTGTAGGTTTTTGGGTGCACAACATTTTAAATCAACATTTGAATATACTACATTATTGAAATAAGTTTTTAAATACAGGCTTTATAGTGTGAATGACATTAAAATATTTCAGGTCTGTTGTCTGTATACAGTAATTGGCAGTGATTTAAAATTTAAAGATATCCTTTTGATGCCATAATCATTTGTTCAAATCTAGAAAGAAATTTAAGAAGTACAAAATAGTTGTATATCGTATTTTGCGATTTTTAAAAACAAAAATATTTAAAGTTGCTACATTAATCTTTTATGACATAGACTTAGAATAAATATACTATAGAAAGGATTTATTAAATGATAGCCTAGACTAACTTTAAAAAACTTCAAATTCAGACTAATAAGATAGCAGCATTAATTAAAACTCATATCATGTTGTTCTTAAGTATCCGCATAATATAGTCATGCTACTAATATTAAATTATTGTTGTGATAAGTCTTTAAAATATTCATACTTTTTTATAAATTAATAGAAAAAGATGTTGTAATTAGGAGATGAATGATGTGTTGGCTTAACTTTAAAAACACACACATACACACACACACACAGCCACAATAGAGGAATAAGATCTTACTTCTATATGTATAGTTCTTCACAGGTAAAACTTCTGCCATATTTTGGTAATTGACCTTTAAGAGCTTTCTCAGCTCAAGGATTCCATGGCAAGCTGCTATTCATTCTTGTTGGTATCTACTAAGTGATCTATATAATAAAGGTGGCAGTATAGGCGGATAATTGCCAAATGATTTCTCTTTAGTTTTGTCAATTAGTGCAGTTATAGGAGCACATATTAATGGATTGCATGATAAAGTGAGGATTCATAGGACTTAAATTTGTTTCCTAAAAATAAAATCTGAGCCACCCCAGACTACTTTTAAACAAGGATTTAAAAATCCCCAAATTAGTTTGCTAGCTTTTTAAGTTAGTTTGCTCCAGAGTAGATGCCTGGCGCAGGACGCCCAGTCCATACCTCTGTCAGAAGCATAGAAGTCAGAATAAGCAAGCGGCCCTTTCTCCACTGACCAGGACCACATGGCCAGTGTGGCTGTCTTAACAGAATCTTGAAGAGGAAGGTTATATGGCTTTGTTCAAGTATTACGTGGTGTGATCATCTCATTCACTGATGCTGCAAGTATTTGTTGAGTTTGGCCTATGATGTACCAAACAATTTCTGTTGGCCCCTGGCTTTCCCTTCAGCTTTACCAGGTTGCTGTGATGATATCAGCCTGTGCTTTAGATACCCAGGCAGGCCTACACAGGTACCAGCTCTTTTCTTGGCTACCCTCTTCAAGATTTCCCCTGCCTGCCATGCAATGACAAAGAGTGTATCAGTCCCACAGGGAAGATTACAGCTGCTTTATTGACATGAGATTCCCCTCCCCAAATGTTTTTGATCTACGATGATAATGACAATGATGATGAGACAGTGAACTGATACCTACCCTGATTTCGAGGTCACTTTGAGTTTTCCCACACTTCTGCAGAGTGTCAAGAGGCAAGGGGAAGTAGAAGGGAGTCCAGGTAGTTAATGGTAGCAACAAAAAAGTTTCTAACAAGGTGTTCTCAATATGAACAATAATATTAGGAGCTGGAGAGCTTCATCAGAGGTGCCAAACCGACTGCAGTCAGCACCCGTATAATATTGCAGGAGTAGATACTTGTCATTTGTATGACAAGGAGTAGATACTTGTCAGGGATAGGACAAGTTAAACTTTACCAAGTAGCTTTTTTTCAAAGTCATGAGTAAATTTCAAGACATAAATATCAGTACTTTTCATGTTTCTTTGAGTATATATACTCTTTTTCTCATGAGATTTCATACCTTCATCTTTGCCTTTCAACAAATACATAGATTCCAATTTTTTAAAGAAAAACATTGAACATAAATTGCAAGTAAGGTCAATCAATATTTTTTTCTTTGTTGGGAAGTTCCATTTTATATCTCAGCAAAGATTGCAGCTGTAAAAACATGTCACAGGAGTTTTTCATTTTTAAGACTTAACTCAAAAGATGTCTGCAAAATTATTTTGGGAAATTGTACTTTTTGAAATTGAAACTTTTATCAAGAGATATTTAGGAATTTATTCACAAACTAAAAAGCTTTAAAAACCAGCACACACACATACAAATACCCAAACAGACACTACTTCCAAAGGGAACTTAAAATTCCCAACAACAGAAGTATATGAATTTTATTCTATAAGGGAGGGACCATTAATTAACAAATTTATATTTCCTAACTTATTCCCATAGGAATTTTTAAAATTTATACTTCAGTGTTTATATTTCGGTTATGCACATAAATATAAATATACACATGCACAGAGATGATCATTATATAATTATTTATACGGTGGTTGTGAGAAATAGAGAAAAAGGTCAAAGAATCCCTATCCAGATTAACCACTTGAAATTCTCCAGGTAAAACTAAAACACAAATATCATTAGATAACCCCAGTTAATTAAGAGCATTAAACAGATGAAAAACAACTGTCTTCTTCCCTCTTCTTTCTGCCTGTTCATTTCCCTGAGAGGAACTATTTTTTAAACTGGGGAGTAACATGCAATCACACTAATGTGATAACAGCTCTCCTGCCTAGATACGACTTTCCCTATGGATCTTCAAGATGAAAATACTTCCAGGAATGTCCCGCAGCAGATGGCAGCAAATTGGTAGAACCGAGAAAAGGGAGGTCAAGTCAACTAGAGCAGGACCCAGTAACAACAGAGAAGAGAGACAGCGCCTGCTCACAAGAGGCAGGGGGACACTGAAAAAAAAGAAAATTACCCTTGTCAGTGACCCCATCTTGCTCATTCTGGTTGTTGTTGAGAAATGATAATCCTGAAACAGAACAAACAGTTTCATTGTGTTCTAGATAATCACTTTAAGAAGGAAGAGAAATATAGTATGTAAAACAGATATGGAGACACATCAGTTAGCTAGAAAATACATTTTTGTGGAACACCTATTCCCAGAGACATTGAATAGATGAGCTTTTTTGGGCTGAGAACAATATCAATTTGCCCTTTATTTTTCAAGACCTCATTCCATTTTTCTCTTTGATCTAATTGCAGCCCCCCTTCCTCCAGCCCACTTGGCACAGCCCTTTTTAGGGGAGCAAAGTGGTGCGGCTTGGCTCAGATGGGCTCTGGAGTCAGACGGGGCTTGAATTCTGACCCATCATAGCCTTGCTGGGCGGCCTAGGGAGGTCACTCAATCTCTCACCTGCCGAGAGAGAAAACAGCTACTGTGAGGGTGGTACAAGACATCACATGCCCCCTGCTCTGGTGGTAATGGTGGCACCTCTGTGAGATTCCCTGGAAACCGCTTAGGTGTTTTTGGTTTGTTTTTTTTTTTAAGACCTATTTATTTATACAAGAACTGGGGTCCAGGTTAGAGGCACTGGAGGGTGAGAGAATTCACCAGAGACAGAGTAGGGAACAGAGTAAGCAGACGGACCGAAATACACTGCTGAGGGGAGCAGTGGGCGAGACAGGGGAGGTCTGCCGCACCATGTGGGTATCTCCCTGGCCGGCCTGGAATCAAACCAGTGCTGCAGAGCCTGCAGACAGCTTCACAGTGCAGCACTCAACCCGCTGCACCACCGGGGAAGCCCCAACCTCTTAAGTTTTCAAAGTCAAATTATGAACGAGCACACTCACTGCTATATTTCTTTTTCTCAACAATCCGTCTGATATTATAAATCCACGTCGGCTTGCCAGCACTGGATCCAGCAACCCCTAGTCAGGCTAGAACAGGCTGGGCTGGGGACCCTGGAGACAGTCTGCTTTGCTTCACTCTTATGGCACCAGATATAATGTTTTCATGAATAGATTCATCCCTCTTGCTGTCTGTCACTCAAGTCTGTGAGGTTAACGAAATACTACCAGGTAAGGCCCGGAAACTCTCTTTCTCCTGAGTCACTGTGTAAAGTGACTCAGGCCCTGGGCCTCCAGCTGTTCCCTTTTGCTCTTTTGGGACCTTCCAGAATTCCTGGTCTGAACATATTGCCTTTGGGTGTCCTGTGGCCAACTCCCTCAGCTGGTCTGGGTTTACAGGGGTTGTGCCTGTCTATCTAGGGGGACACCCAGTCCCTGTCTGATTTCCCATTGAGTTTGAGGGAAAGATCATGAGCATGTTCTTCAGGGTACATGGCAGGAGCTGACTAATTATTTTCTCCTTCCTCTCACCTCCTTCCTAGCCACTCTGTAGTCAGGGCTCCTTGCTGACGCCTAGAAAGCTCATTCATCAACTCAGACTCCTGACAGATAATCTCCATGGACACATGACAACTGGGACTCAAAACTTTTACTGACTGTTCCAGAAAGGGAGAGAGTGAAGGAAAGATTCCTTACACCTACATGCCGCTCTCGCTAGTCCAGCAGTACCTTTGTGCACTGAGGAAAAGGTATAACCCAGCTCATACCAGCGCACAGCTTAGCAAGCAGCAGGGGATCTGTGTGCAGGGGTCTGGTCTTTGAGCCTAGAGCCTGTTGGCTGACGACTGGAGGTCACTAAGAAGTGCAGCCCATGGACAAACCTTCCCGAAGACGGCGGACCAGCTGGTCTCGCACAGGGGCGCTGTGGATCACGCTACCTGCTCTGCATTTACAGCTCAGCCTGGCTCGATGCGGCTTACGCCTGCTGAGTTCTTCACATACTAGGCACCACACAGCCCGTGTGAAGCAGGTGCTTCACTTAACAGATGAGAAGCACAGCTTGCTTGTGGAGAGTCAATGATTTGCTCAAGGCCCACAGCTAGATAGCAGCTCAGCTGAGCTCATACCTCAGTCTAGGTGTGTCTGACCCATCAGGTGCCCCTGGGAATTCTGCTTTTCAATACCTCTCCTATCTACCGCCTCAGCCTTGGTGTAAGCCCATCTAACCTCTACCCTGGGGCAGTGCAAGAGATGCCACATCCAAGCAAGCTCTGTAACCCTCAGTCTGCTTCCCTGCTTCAGATCTGCAGTAAGTCCCGTCATCTACCAACAAGATAAAGGCCAGAGGCCTTAGCCTCCGAACAAGGCACTCCTCTTAACAACTGTCCCTGCTCTGAAAGCCTCACCTCGCGCTTCCTTCCCTCTCCCCACCCCCAGAGCTAGGGGACCAAGAGGAAGCTAAGCTCCTGTTTAGTATGCCTGCAACTTCTAGAAAGAGTTTGTTTGATTCCCTCCTCCCGCCACTATCCCCGAAAGCCACTGCAGTCAGCGCCAAATGAAAACGAAGCACTCTGTGGGACCTGACCTCATTTCACATGGGTTTTGGTGTCATTTTCAATTACATATGGATGACAGGAAGTGCTAATGGTTTTAATCAGCCTCTCATCGAGCTCGGTGGCCCCAGTAGTCTACATGCCTTGGTAAAGACTGTTCTCTGCCAGAAATGAACCAGCACCAGCACCACCTCCCCACTCTTCAGGTTTTAAGATTTCATGTACACATTCCACTGCCTGAGAGAATGGAATATTCCTTCATGGTGCTTCCAGAATATAGCGGTATATACACCTGTGTTAACGTTTATCACCTGAAGTGTAGGTAGTTGGAGTATGTACTCATCTGTATTTTGCTTGGACTGCTATTTTGGAAGCTTCTGTTTTGTTCCCACCCCCACCTCCCCACTCCACCCTCCTCAGGCCTCCATGGAGCTCCCAGAGGCCTTCCTTAAGCTCAGTCCGTGCAGGGCCTGTGTCCCCAGGTTTGGGTATAAATGAAAGACTGCATGCCAAACTAAGAATGGGACTGTGAGAATATTTTTAAGAAGGCCTTATAAAATAATTTTAAATACTTGTCTTGGGTCAGCAGTTCTGAGAAACTGTAAAACTAAGGTCTATGAGTAGGAAGCTTTTTTGGAGAGCAGCCTCAGGATGTGAGCCTGGGAGTGACAGAAGCAGCATTGAGCTGAAGTGAAGGGGTACAGCCTTTGCTGCTGGAATCTCTGGGCCCAGGGTGCCCTTCACATTGTCTGCCCCAGCAAGGGAGCCGGCCACTGTATTAGGCACATCAGGAGAGGGGCACGGCCTGGGCAAAGGAGTTCTCTTCAGCTGCAGGCTGCTGGCAGAGGGGAAGTCATGCAGGCCCACCTTCAGCAACCAGGCTCCTGCTGCAGGGAAGCCACAGTCCTGAAGTGGGAGATGGGCAGGCCGGTCCAGCAATATATTTAAGCATGTACCTCTAAGACTAGTCTTGAAACTACAGCACAGCAGAAGAAATGATTGATGTTGATCCATCAGTTAAAGACCTTCAAAGGTTTATAGAGCTCCTAAACATTGCAGCTTTGGGCTACAAGCTGAGATACTGCCCCTTCAGCTAGGGGCTGTCCAGGTGAGTCCAGGTGAGGCCTTGGTGATGGAATGTGTCATCCATACACACATTGCCACTCCAGGGTTGTCATGGCCTGTGTGTACCAGGCGCGAAGTGGGCAGGGAAGTCTGAGTCCTTTTTTCGACTCAAAGCAAGACTGCTCCAGGTGCCTGGACCTTTCTTACAGATCTCCAGAGGAAGTACCGTCATCCTCTTGGGGTCACCTTCTTATGACTCCATTTTTTTAAGGTCTGAATACTCCTGTTCCCAAACAGCACAAAAATGTTAGAAAGCAGTTTTTGTAATTAAGGGGAAATGTATTTTGTACAAGGTTCTTATGTAAAATGTAGACCAAGAACACTGTTAATAACACTGCCAGTCACTTAGAATTTGGTAATTCAAAGATAACTTCTTATAAGCGCTGACCTTAGTGTTATTTCTGAAAATGTAGTGCTAAGCAAAATAATAGCTGCAGAGGAAATCTATGGACGTTATTTCCCCTGAAGGGAACAAATTGCTTTCAGATTCTTTCTGGATTACTTATTCTCACCCAGCAAATAATTGATAAGTTAATTTATTAAAGCAGGTATTCTAAAAAAGTTCTCCTACATAAATTGTGGTTTTATTTGTTATAGTACTTACTAAAATATACTGACCTGCATTTTGTGAAAACCATTTAGAAATTAGACCATTCATTCGTTTATGTCTGTGTTGTCCAATATGCTCTCCCCAGCCACATGTGGCCACTGAGCACTTGAAATATATTTTTGAGTATGAAATATGAATTGGATTTGCAAGAATTACTTATATTAAAAATGAATGTAAAGTAGCTCCATAATTTTTTTTGTTTTGATTACAAGCTTGATTGCATGTTAAAATGATAATAGTTTGCATATATTGGGTTAAATAAAATACACTTAAGATTAATTTCACTTTATTTTTTAAATATGGTTACTAGAAAGAAAATTAAGAATCCTCTTTGTAGCTCACGTTGCATTTCCTTCGAGCAGTGCTGGCCTATATAGTACTCTGCAGGTATTCCAAACTGAGCCCCGGCTGTCCTTTATCCTAGCTCCGCAGTGTCACCCACCATGCTTGGGGTTCAGATTGTCCAAAGGATTTGAATAGACATTTCTCCAAAGAAGATACTCAGATGCCTCATAAGTGTATGAAAAGGTGCTCAACATCATTAGTCATTTGCACTGGGAAAATGCAAATCAAAATCACAATGAGATACCACTTCATACCTAGTGAGGTGGCTGAAATAAAAAGTCAGTAATAAGTGTTAACAAGGGGTGGAAATATTGGAACCCTCCTACAATGCTCATTCTCAGTTATCCATTATCCATGGACCTGAATTCTCAGTGACAGCTTCCCTGACATTTTAAATCGCAGCACTCAAATCCCTCTTTAGTGCTTTCTATAACTCTGCCATCTAAAATCATGTTTTGATTACCTGATTAATCATATATACATATATGGTTACATCATAAATACATATATACATCTAATACATCGTATATACATATATGATATATTTGTCAGTCTCCCCTCACTAGAAAGTACTTGAAGGATGGAATTTTTGATGGTTTTAGTTCCCACTATTTCCCTGCACCCTTAAGAGTCTGGTTCATATTAACAGTTGAGCGAATGAATGCATATCAAGTATTTTCATTGGTCGGTCCTGAAGTGCCCACAACAGTCTTATAAGGCTATCCCCATTGTTTAAGTGAGATCTGCACAGGTCTGGCAGTGGTCAATTCTACCTACCAGGCCATCTCAGCAGGACTTACCATCAAAGGGAGCTTTGTGGCTGCAGAACCATTCCACGAAACAGGCACTGCTGGAGACCCCAAATGAGAAGCACCCACTTTAATGTGGGGACATGTCTAGAAAGAAGCCCAGTGAGCCATACTTGGTGCCATTTCCACTGCATCTAGGTGACCCTATAGTCCATCTATAGTATCTGTTGTGGAATTAATGAAAAGAGAAGAGGCTCTTTTGCAAAACTGATGCAGGATTTAGTTTTTTTATAATAATGATATGACATTCAGTATAGTAGTTTCCGGCTTCTGTTTTAAAGGATGATTCCATTAGTGGGGTAAAGTCCAGTCATTTAACCTGTGATTTTTAAAAATTGATTATTTTATTTTTTATATGTGTGCAGCACTTGGGCTATTATTAGAATATAAATTACATGTAGAAAACAATAGCATTACTTCATCATTTTAAAAAAAAAAGGCAGTTATTCTGATACATAAAAATGCATGCATTCTAACGCTCCATGATGTCATTATGTTGACTGAACAAAGAAATATCATTATCGATCATTTATTAAAAGCAATGAATTCTCAGTGAAAGAGTCTGGTGTTTCATTATTGCACTTAATTTTTCTTACAGGACAGAGTTCTAAAAACATCAGCTCATCTCCAAGCATTGAAAGTTTGCCTGGAGGAAGGGAATTCACGGGCTCCCCACCTTCATCAGCTACTAAAAAGGATTCCTTTTTTAGCAACATCTCCCGTTCCCGCTCACACAGCAAAACTATGGGCAGAAAAGAATCTGTAAGTATTTACAACTGGTTTTCTTTTTATCCTTCATTTTCTCCTCCAGTTCTGTATTTGCTAAAGGTTTGTTAGTTCCTTGCTTTTGTAAAGCTTTTAAAATTGTTACAGACTAAATTGAATTATTTCAGCAAAATATTTTCATTTCATTATTATTTAGTAATATTTTCAGCCATGGTCTGTGTTATACTAAATGGGAAGCACCAATTTAAACTGTGTGGAATCTCAAACTTCAGTCCTTTTTTTTCCTCTGCATATGCCCTTTCACCAAAGCCTGTTTTTTTTTTCCTATAATGTAACAGATAACACTATACTAAATAGTAGAGTAAGGCAACTTAAAACAAACCAAACTTTGTCTTAGTTTTAAATATTTCTTGAAAATTAAAAATAATTATCACTTGTTTTAAAGTTCTACAAATTACATTTCAATTTGCGTAACTAACAATATGTTGATAGTTGCTCTCTAAGATTCTTTGTATGCATTACTCAAAAGGAAATATCTAAATCATATCAACCGCTTTAAATATACAGTTGTCTGAAATTTTTAGGGACAATTCTGCAAGAAAAAAAGGCATTTAGCCCATTGCATGGCTAGTTTAGCACCTAATATTGGAGTTTAAAGAGTTCACTGCCTACCAGAAGAGGATGCAAATGTTGCGTGTTACAGAAAAGGATCTAGCTTTTGTTGAAAAAGCCCTAAATTAGAAAAAAAAAAAAAAACCTGTAAAACCTTTGAGAGGTAATTATTTATGGTACATTGAACCACACTCTGTATGCTCTGTATGAGTGTGTGTGACTTTGGGCAAGACCCTCAACTTCTTGGTGAACTAACCACCTCTGCAAACAAAACAACTCTGACGGGAAGAGTTCATGACATACTCTGTGGTGGTCCCTTTCAATGTGTAAGAGTTGTGATTCTAGAATTTGTAAAAGAGCAGATTAGAACTTGCATTTAAAGATGATGGCTTTATCCGAGGCATCCAAGAGGGGAGGAGAAGAAGGAAGGAGATGTGGGTGGGGGGATAAGAATGTGGAGGAAAGGGGGGCACAAAAGACTGTGGGGGCCTCCCTGGTGGCACAGGGGGTTGAGCACAACACTGTGAAGCTCTCTGCAGCCTCTGCAGCATGAGTTCAATCCCTGGCCAAGGAGCTACCCACATGGCGTGGCAGACCTCTCCTGTCACCTGCTCCTCCCTCAGCAGTGTATTTCAGTAGATCTGCCTGTTCTGCTCCCCACTCTGTCTCTGGTGAATCCTCTTACCCCCCCACATCTCTGGCCTGTATCCCAGTTCTATGCATAAATAAATAAATCTTAAAAAAAAAAAAAAAGGACTGTGGTGGAGGACAGTCAGGTTTTGATGGTGGGAAACCTGTTAGGGCCGCACGTGAGGGGAGAAATCCTACATTGTCAAAATATTAACAAAGATGTAGAACAATGGTACTTCATTAATTAAAACAAAAATAGAGATGGTAGCTTAATGAAAGCAGTTAGCTCTGCTCCTCCCTAAAGCACCATTCCAAGGACAGTTGGGGTAAGTAAAGGTAAACCCTGACGGAATAAGAAAACGGGAGAGAAGACAACTGAAATCTGTTATCTGACAACAAAAATGGTAATGTTAGCTAGCTTAGCAGTCTAAGAAAGCTGAACCCAAGTCAGCAGTAGATAAAAACAAAAAAGCTGCTGGATTTAGACTATATGTAAATCCTCCAGAAGCTCAGGAATTGGAAATAAAATGAAAGTGAAACTGAAGATATAAGAATTGGTCAGAAGCATCTTCAAGAAGCCTTCCCTTACTCCACAGAAGACTGGAGATTTAATTCTCTGCCAAGCGTGAAACAGAATGTCTCTGGGCCAAGAGAGATCAGGTGCATTCGAATATGAGAATACCCTACTAAAAAGGATGTTATGAATATGTTCACATACTGATTTTGAGATTTCCAGGCCTCACCCCATTTGTTTCCCAGAATATTGGTAGGTGTAACCCTTCAGGCTGGAGAGTGAAAAGTTTTGCAAAGGTCAACAATTAAAAAAAAAAAAAAAAAAACTACATAAATACTGACCTTAGGCAGAAAAATACAATAGAAAAAAATATAAGAAAACTAGAGATCCAACCCAGAAGACTCAAAAATCTTTAAAAAAAAAAAAAAAAAATAGGAGTTCTCGAGAGAACAGAGAAAATGAAAGGAAGGAAGTAACCAGAGTTACAATTCAACAAATGTTTCTACTGATGAAAGACTGAGTTTTCAGTCTGAAATGATTCACAGATTAGCCCACCCAAGTAGAAACAAGCCCACAGCTAGATTCATCTCTGGAAAAGTTCAGAATTTGGAAAACAAAGACCCTAAAAACTTGTGAGAAGAAAGATTTTCCAACCAAGGGTGAGGAATTAGAATAACAGCTACAGATGTCTCACAGGACCACTGGAAGCAAAACAGGGACAGAATGCCTCCAGTTTCAGGAGAAAATCATCTTCAAACATAGACTCAACACCTAGCCAAAGTAATTGGAGTATAAAATAAAACTACTTTCAGACATTCAAGATGCAATTATTTATTACAATGTGCCGTACTCAGATTTCACAGGAGGTTGTGCCTTACAAAATGAGAACACACACTAAGGATTGAGAACAAGAAATGAAGTGTGGAGGAAAAAAAAAAAAGATTCCTCAGAATGATAGTGTAGAGAGAATGTGTCCAGAGAGTAGCCTTCCCACATTAGAAGATTTCAGAAAGTTTTCTCCAAAAAGATGAAATTGGAAGAATGACTAATATATTCGAACAAATTGAGAGACTTACACACTTGGGGTGAATTTTGGGTTTGAATTAGTGGAAACTTTATAAAAACTAAGCCATTAAAACACAGGATAATTGGGAACCCCAAAGAACAATTAAGTATGTACCCAAAAAGAAAGATGGTGACAGACCATATAAAGTTGCCATGGCTAGAATTTTTTTGTTGGATATTGTCATGTAAGCCTATTAACTATGACTTTAATCAAAATCATGATAAAATTCTGTTGAGAAGATGGGGTGTGGGAACTGTCTTTTTTGCTGGGGGAAGGGACAGAGCCAGGTATTGGTTGTCAGTAGAGCTAAATCTTCATCTTCCATACTGGAAAATCAAGAAGCATAATACTCTAGAGAGATTAAGAAGTAGTACTAACAATTATTGCTATAGAAATGGAAAAAAAACAGGTAAAGCAATTCAAAGTAGTTGCTTCTGGAGAGCAGGAAGTGGAGGGTGGGGCAGTGAGAACTGCTTTTCATAACAAGCCTTGTAGAACCATTTGACTCTTCAACGTGTGACATATATAACTTAGATTAAAAATAATAACTACAAATTACAACAAAAATAGAATGTATCGGCATAATAAACTAGAAGAGGAACTGTCTGCCTGTACAGAAAACATGTCTATGAAGAACCAGAATAAGGAATAACAAATGAGGAAGACATATGAAGACATGTTTCATTTGCATTCTATCATATTTTGGTGGCATATGGATTAGTCTGTAACACCAATTAATTACTTTTCTTTACAGTGATGCCGTAACTAAAAACTGAGAAGTTGAGCAAAAATAGAAATAGAGTAAGTCTAACTCTCCAGAGACCTGCTGTGAACCAAGAAACCTAATGCCAAATTATTATTCACAATTTAATATATTTTCTAACTTGTGGAAAGTCAGTAGGCAGAAGTTTTCAAGAGAAATCCCATGGTTTTTCAAGTAATAGATTATCTTAATATTTTGCAAAATTATGTATATAGTCAGTGCTCTTTGCCAAATAATTCTGGTTCTCCCCCATTCTTGGGGGAGCACTTAATAGGATTGTGCCTTCTCGACCTCTGAGATCTGTCAGAGCCTGTGACTAGTTTTGTCCAGTGAGTTGTGGGTGGCTATGTATGGATTATCACTCCCAGCCTCTCCACACACAGTTCTTTCCCCCTCTGGCGCAATGAACAGAGCCCACCTGCCAACCCGTACAGACTTGAACTACTAGTGAGACATAAACCTTGACTGGCTGAGCGGGGCCTGTTGCTTATCACAGCCTGTCAGTGCCCAGTTGGAAATGTGCAGGCCTTCAACTGGAGCTCATTCACCAAGGGAGCTGCATGGTATCACCAAGACTGGCTCCAGAGGCACCAGAGCCTGACTGCTCACCTACCAGCCCGGGCCCACTTTACTTGCATTTCTCAACCAGTTTGGTGTGATACAGAGATATTTTATGTCCTCAAGAAAATTCAAGATAGTTTTCCATTAATACCATCTTCAGTTTCTTTCACAAATAGGTAGCCAGAGATTGAAGCAAAGACCCCTCTTGCTTTAGGCCTGCAGTGGCTAAAATTGGGTAATGGATTTCAGATTTTGAGACTCAGTTGATCTTTTAAAAATGATCCAGAGTCAAGAAATCATGGATGACAGTTGACGATAGGTTAACATAGCTGTTGAAAACAAATATCAAAACAGAGATAATCTAGTAGTAGCTAGTAACCTAATCATGTTGAAATCTGCTTGTAATGGTTCTTATCTAATCTAATCACTATGACATTACTTTTGAAATTAATCTAGGTGTGACATAATCTTTATGTTGTAGAATCTAACAATCAGCTTGTAAAACTCATTTCCTTTTGGTAATATCTTTATGTGTCATATAAAGCCTTTCTGTAACCCACAGGCCAGCTTCTTTAGATGAAGTTGTGTCACATATATTCCTGTTAATGGTCATGGTTTGGCTATATGATGAGAGTACAAAACTCAGCTAAATCTTTCAAGAGGGAACATATTAAGCCTTGTGCCTGATGTTTATGAAAGACATCATAGTACTTCTTTTCTGAAATGTGAACAAACTAGTAGGAAGCTTTAAAATTGACCTTCCTTCATAACCAGTGGTAATATTCTTTTGAGGTTTGATATTTTTCCATGAAGACAGTTTTCCCTCTGCTTTGATTCCCAAAAAATGCTTTTAGGAATCACCTAATTCAAAGCCAGGTTTTGACCAATCT